GGTCTCAGTCCTCGTCTCCTAAGCCCCCCCACGACAACAACGGGCAAGGGATGGGGGGGAGGGGATGGTGTGGGCAGTAGTTGAGATTGGAGCTGTGGTTGAGATTGGGGTGTCTGGATTTAGAGCGGCAAAGAATTAGTCTGAGAGAGTTAGAATGTAGAAGTGGATGTGGGGACATCTTGGGGTGGAGAGGGAGGGGCAGAGCAAGCGATGTTATTAGAGTATGGAGTATGAGAGAAACCTTGTCGACGTGCTTCCTGTCTGGCTTCAAGTAAAGTGAGATCATTTTCGTATCTAAGAGTTGCTACCTCAGATTCAAACTTGTAAGTGGGACAGCCTCTTTAAAATACATTATGGCGGCGCGCCGCAGTTAGCACATGTACGTGTTTGTGCTGAGCAGTTTGATCGGTTATGACGAGGTTGGGCACATATGGGGCATCGGTCTGTGGAACGGCAGTGTTTGGCAGGATGACCAAAGCGCCAACAGGTTTGACATTGATGGGGAGGGGATTAGTATGGTCGAACAGGGAGGGATTGTCCACTATTGTATATACGTATGGGAAGGTCATGTGTATAGAAAATAATTTTGGCAATATAGATCGGATTCTTTCGTTGACCTTTAGGAGGAATGGTGTAGCAATGTACTGATTTCACATCTTGGTCTTTGAGGCATCCTAATAAGTCTTCTTCACAGTCTGACCAATCTTTGGTATCGACTGGGCAGTTTGCTGGGGAGAGAGAGACAGTTCCGGTACAAGTATTAAGGGTTAGATGAGGTTCTGCAGGAATGGGGTTACCAGAATGATGAGTTCAATTTAATAGTGCTATAGATTCAGTTTCTGATCTGACAGATACAAGACGGGAGCGATCGCGTCTGGTATAGAAAGGGACTCTGCCCACTTGTTTTTGGAGGCATTATTGAAAGAGAAGAGTGTTGCCTGAATAAGGAGCTGTAGAAGGGATCACGAAAAATCGGTCCCATTTAGCTGGGCTAAACAGAGTATTTTAGATATCTGTAGGGTTGGTGGTGGTGGATGGTCGGGGACGTGTGGAAGAGGGAGTATTACGAGTGATGGAGAATAAGGCTGTAAGGTAGTAATAAGGGAGGATGGGGTGCTTGATGAAGGTTTTGGGGGTAGAGTTGATGAATTTGAGGGCTAGACAATTAAATCAGGTGAGTACCCTGCCCATGGTTCCCGCAGGCTGTTCAGGAGTGGCACAAGGTTAGCCTTTCATCCTTTCAGCACAGCTCTTACACCTTAGGAAGTAGATAGCAGAAGGGGTTGGAGAAGGGACAAGAAAGTGAAAGTTGGAGGTTCAGTTAGATTTGCGAAGTCATGCTTCGCCCGGGCCTTTTCTCTGGAGTGGCCCGGCCTGTGTTAACTATTTCTAGTTAACTCAGATAGTTTCTTTGAACTGCATGCTTATCGCGGTGGCTGAATTGTGAGCAAGTGATCCAGCTGCCACGGGGTAAGCATGTTACAGACCCGTTTTACCAGCCTGGCGGCTGTGGTGGCTGGTCCCTGCCTGAGAAATTGTGTGTACACAATTCTGCAAGTAACGTAACAGGGTGGCGTTAGGCTCGCCGCAGTGTTTGCATAACCTGGCAGTCTCATTGTCAATAATTTGCCAAGCGCATTGGTAACCTAGTCTTAGTCTGAATAGTATGACTTCGGTACCTCTTTTTGTGTTTGGAGGAAGGGCCAGTGGCTCATAGCCTGAAGCATCTGAGTACCACTTGGCAGCGAGCGATTTTGTGAATGTTTCTCTATGTGCTCCCCGGAGGACCCGCACACGCTTTGGCTTAGTCCCCTTCGGCTGGGTTTAACGATCATGGAGGATGGGGGCATACCCCTGCCCTTTTCAGCTAGTTTGTCAGTAAGCTCGTTCCCGTGTATGCCTATGTGGCTTGGGACCCAGTTAATGATAATTCTTCTACCTTGACTAGGATTCTTTGGGCTATGTTAGTACTGTTGTCAAGAGGTAGATGTTGTCTGGGGCATGCTATGCTGTAACTGTCTGTCAATAGTTGCTCTTGAATCTGTGTGAATGACGTGTCCTGCCCTTAGGGACGCGTGTGTCAGCTTCCATGATCGCAACCGTTTCAGCCTTGAAGCATTGAGGCATTGTCAGTGACCCTAATGGATGCTGTGGTATCCTTTGTTGCAAAGCCGGCGCCTGCAGTATGGTTTATTGGATCCACGATCCGTCCGTGTAGTATGTTATACTACCGGCGGAGTTATTTGAATGACCCTTTGTGCTTGTGCCTTTAGGCTAGGCATGGAATATTGATCTTTTCTCATTGTGAGATTTAGAATTGAGAATTCGATCATTTCGTTTGCCCACGGCGGGGGTTCTTTGTAATCAGGGTGAGGGGAGTCCATACCCTTGGCAAGCAATGAATCTTTTAGCTGAAAGCGTATCAAAACTCTGGCTGTATGTGTGAGCCAGGAATTGTCCGCAAACAACTGGTAATCTTGTTGTAGGCGTCTGAGAACTCTTTGTCTTAATAGGAGTTTTGGGTGCCTGCAGGACCTTGGAAAGGAACTGTGCTGCCATTAGATCAATTCTAGTGTCCATGGACGGTAAATCAGCTTCCATGAGGAGGTTGATGACCTTTGTCCACTTAGGTGCACCTAGAATGATCCTGGCTGCTTCGTTTTGTATTGTTTCCAGTTTTTCTTTTAATGTTGTGCTGGAAGCAATGAGGGCGACAGATGCATAGTCAATAATAGGACGGACAGCATGTACATAGAATGATCTTAGTACTTTGTGTCCTGCTCCTATGTGTCTCCCTGTCATGACTTTCATGACTGACAGTCTTTCCTTGGTTCTGTCAAGCAGGTATTGGATCTCCTTTTTGAAAGTGAGTGTGTGTCCTATCCATACACCAAGGTATAGATAGTCCTTCACCCATTCCAGATCCATACCCTGTATGGTGAGTTTTTTGTTTCTGACATTGGTTCTCAGTGCCATTGCTTTTTGGATTTTGCTGCTGATATTTTTAGACCCGTCCTACAACACTCTTCAGACACCAGGTTCAGACAACGCTGAGCTCTAGTTAGGCAGTGATTGCCAGAGGCTATGATTGCCAAGTCATCTGCATAAGAGATGATCTTGCATCCCTCTGGCAGGTGAATGTCGAGTATGTTGGACATGAGGGTATTAAACAGGGCTGGACTAGAACCCTCCCTGAGGAGTTCCATTTTCAAGTGGCATGTGCTGTGAGAGGTGGCCTTGAAATCTGACATTTGCTGATCTATTTTTAAAATAGTCAGCTATCCAGGCCAAGAGTCTGCCTTTGACTCCTTTGTGGATTAGGGTCTCTTGAATAGCAAGCGGGCTTGCAAACTCAAAAGCCATCTCCAGGTCTAGGAAGACAACCACGGCGGGCGAGGTGCAGATTGCGCTTAAGAGTGTGGAAATGCTGTGAGCAGTGCTCTTACCCCTTGTGAACCCGTGCAGGTGTTCATGAGGGTGACCCGTCTTCCATCGGAGCCTGTTGAGTACCATCTTCTCAGCTGTTTTACCCAGGCAGCTGAGAAGAGACATGGGACGGTACATGCCAGGCTCCTTTGGTTTTGGGATGGGAACTATTGTGGCTTGTTTCCAGCGCTGGGGCACCGTGGCGGTTTGCCAGGATTTGTTGATAACCTGCAAGAATGCAAGTTCCCCTGCAAGGCCTAAATGCAAAATGATGGGGTGGTAGATCCCATCAGATCCTGGTGCTGATCTAAAGCTGGTTTTGTATGATTTTCTTAGTTCCCTAAGAGAGAACAAGGCATCAGTGTCATCGGATTCGAGTGCCTTGTCTCTTATGAGAGCGTCTTCCTGGATTTAAGGTTTGTTGTTTTTCTCTCATCATTGGAGGCAGATTGTTGTTGCTGGTTCTAGCTGAGAACTCAAGCACCAATCTGTTAGCCTCTGACTATGGATCATGATGAGTGCATTTAGGGGCTTGGCAGCTTGTCACTTGCCTGACCCATTTCCACAACTCTGTAAGGCTGGTCTGGTGTCCAAAAATTCCTGCCTTACTCTGTTGGCAGTTTCCTTTGCCGTCGGAATTTTTTTCTGCAGATATTAACTTTGGTCATTGAGAGAGGATAGGTCTGTTTGGTCCCCTTCGGGGACTATCCCTTTTCCAACTCTCAGGGTTGAGGTCTTATAAAGGGCCTTGGAATTCTCCGTTCCCTACACTCGACCCTTCAGCACCACAGGACAGGAGATCCCCCTGGGTGGGCTGAACTCGGAGTTTTGGTGTGGTAAACGCTTTGCTTCCCAATCCTGCTGCAAGGGAGGTGTGATCATGTCACCGCAGCCCAGGCGAATGTTGGAAACCAGAGTTTCCCACAGGCCCAGGCTGCACCAGGAAGTGTGAAAGAGAGGGCGAGGGTCAGGCACCGAAAAGTCGAGGACCAGGGGCTCCAGGTCAGGTTTGCAACCTCGCTCTCCAAGGGAGCGGTGAGGGGGCACTTACTACCAGAGAAGGCCTGGCCAATTGTCGCGGCGAACCACGATAAATTGGTGGAGCTCTCTGTGTAGTCTGTTGTCAAATGGTATCAGTAAAGCTCAAAGTCTAGTGACTTTACTCAGGAGTATCACGCCAAGTGGGTGCCAATAATGCCTCGCCAAGTGGGTATCATCTCTGTGCACCACAGGCGAGCTGTGCGCGCTGTGATGTGTGAGGGAGAAAAGACCATGCATAATTAACTGAGTCAAGGGCTGAGGCCCTAGGCAGGGGAGATCCCTGCACTGGGTCTCAGTCTCCGTCCCCACAACAACGGGCAAGGGATTGGGGGGGACAACAAGCATGAGATTGGGAGGGTAACTAGGTATTAATTCTATAATTAGAATTTTATTTTCAAATACATAAGAGATCTTTGTTATCTGAAACAATTGTCTTTTTCAATTCATATTACTGGAAAGCAGACAATTATAATTTTT